CACCGTGGCAATCGTTTTGCGGCTGGCTGGCTCCGCCTCCCGTGGCAGCCATTTTGCAGCAGCCATTTTGTCGCTGTGCCCACCAGTGCTGTGTCAGAATTCCAAACGTGCCTGCAGGTTCAAAAAGCTTGGGGACTCCTGAGATAGATTACTGTAGGTCTCCGGAGCGGGTAACGGATAAAGAGAACGATCTGGGACAAAGCGGTTATCAATGTTCACCTAAACAGAAGGTATCAAAGCTAATTTAGGGAAAGCTCAGAAACAGTTTTGACAAAAGCCCCCCCCTCCCCCAGCTTTCTAAATGAAAAATTCCGGGAGGGAAGGGAGGCCAGAATTCGGTGACTGAACATACTGGATTCATTTCAGAATCTCTGCGTACTGCCTGTCCGGAAACAGGTGACCGAGGTGGCTCACGACAATTACGAAATTCAATTACGAAACCATGCCGTAATCAAATAAAAGATGACATCTGAAACAAAACTGAAAATCGTCTGAAACGGCTAATAACGCAGCAGCAACTTCTGAAAAAGGGCAGCGGCCGATTAAACCGTGGTGCATCCGAGGGACGGCAAATCAAGGCAGTGGGGGGGAGGGGGGCTCCGAAAACGATGTTAAAAATCAGGTGAAATTTACAAGCTTGTCTCGGGAGGTGAAAAAGCATTCAGAAATGGTACAGGGTGCATTCTGTATTGGGGGGGCGGGGTCCTGTTCCTTGTGACCACCCACCTCACCTCTGAAGATAAAGGACATCAGGATGACAATCAGGCTTGCCAATCTCCAGGAGGGGCCTGGAGACCTCTGGAATCACAAACGGTCTCCAGAATACAGAGATCAGTTCCCCTGGAGGAAAGGGGGGCTAAATCAGAGTATGGATTTTAGTGGGCCCGTAGCCAGAATTTTTTTAAAATCGGGGGGGGGATTTAAATGTCTTGGGGGGCCACTGGCTAATTAAATTAATCTGGGGGGGGGAAGGCTGTGACGCCCTGGGCTGGATGGGAAGTGGTGGAGCCTTGCCAGGAAGACAGGGGGCCTAGTGCCGAGATGCCCGACTGTAGCTACAGGCCTGGATTATGTGGCATTATATTCCAATGAGGTCCTTTCCCTCCCCAAAACCCACTCCCACCAGGCTCCACCGCCAAATATCCAGGAATTTCCTAACCCAAACTGAGAGCCAGTTTGGTGTAGTGGTTAAGTGCGCGGACTCTAATCTGGGAGAACCGGGTTTCATTCCCCACTCCTCCACTTGCAGCTGCTGGATGACCTTGGGCAAGCCATAGTTCTGATAAGAGCTGTCCTTGAAAAAGAGCCGTTTCTGTCAGAACTCTCTCAGCCCCACCTACCTCCCAGGGTGTCTGTTGTGGGGAGGGGAAGGGAAAGGAGTTTGTAAGCCGCTCTGAGACTCCTTCGGGTAGTGAAGGGCGGGGTATAAATCCAATCTCTTCTTCCTCTTCTTTTACCTCACAGGGTGTCTGTTGTGGGGAGGGGAAGGGAAAGGAGATTGTGAGCCGCTCTGAGACACCTTTGGGTAGTGAAGGGCGGGATAAAATCCAATCTCTTCTTCTCTTCTTCTTCTTCAGAATCGCTAGCTTCAGATGATACAGCTGGTTCTCTCAGCCCCACCTACCTCCCAGGGTGTCTGTTGTGGGGAGGGGAAGAGGAAGGTGTTTGTAAGCCGCTCTGAGACTCCTTTGGGTAGTGAAGGGCGGGGTATAAATCCAGTCTTCTTCTTCTTCTTCATGAGCTACTGGCATTAAAGTTGTGAGCAAGCAGTTTGGCTGCTGCATAAATCAGTTTGCGCTGGAGCCATCCTTCCTGAGCTAAGGCAAAAATGTGTGAGCCAGAGGCTAAAAACCATGAGCCAGCTCACTCTAACTCAGCTTAGGGGGAACACTGGTGCTGAGCACCTTTCGCTCAACCTGGGAGCTGGCGGTGACTCTAGTGGCTCAGCAAGCGGCAGTAATCTGCTCCCCATACATAAATCACACCGGGCCAACCCCAAGGCTCTGCCCACCAGTTCCAAGGACTGATATTGAGTGGTCTCATTCCTTTAGTCCCAGCTAACTGCATGGACAGATGGGGACTGGGCTGCAGAGCGGGGGTGTTGAAGAGGCATGCAACGTCAACTACATCACATCTGGGCACAACTTGGATGTGACCATGGGAATCTCTAGGGATTGCCAGAAACTCTATGGTAACCATAGAGTTTCTAGCAACTCCTAGAGCTACCCATGGTCACTTCCAGGTACAACCAGCACAGAGAGACAGATGTCCTAGCACAGATGATGCTTAAAAAAACCCAAAATTCTCCTGTTGCTATAGCTGGAGGCCTTGCAGCTGTAGCAGGAAGCCTGGGAACCCTAGCTCCCCCTCCCAGTGGTTTTATTTATTTATTTATTAAATGTCTACCCCGCCCTCCCGCCGAAGCGGCTCTGGGCAGCTTACAAGCAATTTAAAACCAACATTCTGTTAAAACCAACAATTACAAAATATAAAATACAGTCCCATAAAATCCCAGCTAATACATCCTGTGATAAAGTGCTCGTGCGACACCACCGGCGTAATCGGTTCTTATTGGAACGCCTGGCGAAACAGCTCCGTTTTAACGGCTCTACGGAACTGCTGGAGGTCCCGTAGAGCTCTGATCTCATGAGGGAGCTCGTTCCACAGCGTTGGCGCTGCCAGGGAGAACGCCCTGGTCCTAGTTACCGCTAACCTGGGGGCCAGACGGTTTTGCTTTCCCGATCGCAGTGCTCTTGGGGGAACATATGGGGAAAGGCGGTCCCTCAGGTAGGCAGGCCCCAGACCATTTAGGGCTTTCAAGGTCAAAACCAGCACCTTGAAGCGAATCCAGAACGCTATTGGAACCCAGTGCAAGGACTTCAGCACAGGCTGGATGTGCTCCCACCTGGGGAGGCCCATCAACAGCCTGGCTGCCGCGTTTTGCACCAGCTGCGGCTTCCGGAGTTGACCCAAGGGCAGCCCCATGTAGAGAGCATTGCAGTAGTCTAGCCTCGAGGTGACCATAGCATGGATCACTGAAGCCAGATCATTGCGTTCGAGGGAAGGGGAGAGAATGTAAACACAAGAGAATGTAAATACAAAAAGCCAGCTAGCAAACTTAGTTGGGATTCGAACTGGTGACTCTGAAGGCCACTTTGGCTGACCGGCTTCTTTTTTCATGAAGGTCTGCGTCAGCTGCGTCTCCTTTTCTCCCCACTCTGCTGAACAGCATTCGTTCCTCGGGAGGGACGAGAACTGAAACCGGCCTCAGCACTTCCTTCTAATTAATGAGCCTCCAGGTGCAAGAAGAAGCCAAACTGAACGACTCAGGTGAACTCGCACATGGGGATGGGAGGAGGAACACACTTAAGGGAAAAAAAGAATCGGGGGGGGGGGATGCTTCTGGCAAACTCATAAGCAGACCTTGAAGAAGCCCTCCATGCTATCTCCCCCCATTAGTGAGAAGTATCCGGAGATATACTGCCTCTGAAGATAGAGGCTCCATTTAGGTATAACGGTTAATAATCACTGGCAGATCTAACCTTTGCCTCATCCGCTTTTAAAGCCATCCCTGGATCACTGCCACATCTTGGGTCAGTGAATTCCGTAAGTCATAAGAACATAAGAGAGAAGCCCTGTTGGATCAGGCCAACGGCCCATCCAGTCCAACACTCTGTGTCACACGGTGGCCAAATCCCAGGTGCCATCAGGACGTCCAACAGCAGGGCCAGGACTCCATAAGCCCTCCCACTGTTGCCCCCCCAAGCACCAAGAAGACAGAGCATCACTGCCCCAGACATGAGAACATAAGAGAGAAGTCATGTTGGATCATGCCAACGGCCCATCCAGTCCAACACTCTGTGTCACACAGTGGCCAAAAATACCAGGTGCCATCAGGAGGTCCACTGGCAGGGACAGAACTCCAGAAGCCCTCTCACTGTTGTACCCCGAGCACTAAGAATACAGAGCATCCCTGCCCCAAACATAAATACATAAGAGAAGGCATATTGGATCAGGCCAATGGCCCATCCAATCCAACACTCTATGTCACACATTGGATGTCCACCAGCGGGGCCAGAACTCCAGAAGCCCTCCCACTCTTGCCCCCTCACCACCAAGAAGACAGAGCATCACTGCCCCAGACATAAGAACGTAAGAGAGAAGCCATGTTGGATCAGGCCAATGGCCCATCCAGTCCAACACTCTGTGTCACACAGTGGCCAAAAATACCAGGTGCCATCAGGAGGTCCACCGGCAGGGCCAGAACTCCAGAAGCCCTCCCACTGTAGCCCCCCAAGTACTAAGAAGACAGAACATCACTGCCCCAGACAGAGTGTTCCATCTATAAGAACATAAGAGACACCATGTTGGATCAGGCCAGTGGCCCACCCAGTCCAACAATCTGTGTCACACAGTAGCCAAAACCCAGGTGCCATCAGGAGGTCCACCGGCAGGGACAGAACTCCAGAAGCCCTCCCACTGTAGCCCCCCAATCACTGCCCCAGACAGAGTGTTCCATCTATAAGAACATAAGAGACGCCATGTTGGATCAGGCCAGTGGCCCACCCAGTCCAACAATCTATGTCACACAGTGGCCAAAACCCAGGGGCCATCAGGAGGTCCACCAGCGGGGCCAGAACTCCAGAAGCCCACCCACTATTGCCTCTCAATTTGAGCCTCATGCAAAGCAGCATTTTCCATTTGTTTGCCAACCCCTTCCTACTACCAAGCAAGGATATGGGCTGCTACCGTCACCCCTCGGCCGTTTTGGCACTCTAAAAGGTGCAGGCAGAAAACGAGACTGTCTGTTGCCTCTGCACTGTGTGGTCCATCAGGACCGGGCCCGTGTGCTAATTTTAAACGGGTATCTCCTCTAAAAGGGCATCGGCGAACACAGGTTAGCCCCGGAGTGACTGACACGTCTAGTGGATCCCACCACGGAATTCTAGTGCGATGCGACGAGGCCACCAACGTCTCCCCCTCCCGGTTCGAGGGCTCACCTCTCCACCCAGTTCTTGTAACTGGGGATGTCCTTGGCGTAGAGGAGCTTATTGGAAGGGGAGTCTTTGCCCAGACGGTGCTCCGAGGTTGAGCAGGAGTCCATGAAGGTCTGGGCCACCACTGAGAGGCAGGCGTCCGTGATGCTGTTCTTGTGGATGTCGAAGACAAACTGTGGGTTTTTGATCATGTTGACCCAAAACCTCAACGGCAAGCTGAGGGAAGGAAGGAAGGAAGGAGGGAGGGAGGGAAGGAAGGAAGGAGGGAAGGAAGGAAGGAAGGAGGGAAGGAGGGAAGGAAGGAAGGAAGGAAGGAAGGAAGGAAGGAAGGAAGGAGAGAGTCAAATTTCAATGGGCTCCTTGTAGGAAAGCTGAGAAAGCACGAACGTTGCTAGTTCTAGGTCGGGAAATATCTGGAGATTTAGGGGGTAGAGCTTGGGGAGGGCGGGGTTTGGGGAGGGCCCTCAGCTGGGCCTGATGCCATAGAGTCCACCCTCCAGAGCAGGCATTTTCCCCAGGGGGAACCGACAGGGGTTGTCTAGAGCAGTGTTCCCTCTAAGCTGAGTTAGCATGAGCTAGCTCACAGTTTTTTAGCCTCCGGCTCACACATTTTTTGCCTTCGCTCAGGGAGGAGGGCTCCAGAGCAAACTAACTGATGCAGTAGCCAGATCGCTCACTCACAACTTTGATGCCAGGAGCTCACCAAGTAGAATTCTGGCTCACATGACTCCACAGCGTAGAGGAAGCATTGGTCTATAGATCGATTGTGATAGCAGGAGATGTTCGGATGCCACCTGGAGGCTGGCAACTGCAGGTACTGCTCTGCTTTCTGTCATTCCCCCTTCCATTAACCAACCCAGGAACCAGAACTTCTTCCATCGCCTGGGGTTGGTAGGTAGGTAGGGCTGGCAGGTCCCTCCTGGCCACTGGTGGAGGGTGGGGGGGTAGGGTTGCCAGGTTCAGGTTGGGAAACTCCTGGAGATTTGGGGGTGGGCTCTGAGGAGGACAGGGACCTCAGTGGGGTACAATGCCATAGAGTCCACGCTCCAAAGCAGCCATGTTCTCCAGGGGAACCGATCTCTGTAGTCTGGAGATCAACTGTAATAGTGTCAGATTGCCACCTGGAGGTTGGAAACAGGCCCATAGTGTTTTTTCAATCACTTTAAACCTTTTTAAAGGTGTGCGCTCCTTTAAGCAGAGGGGGGTGCTGTAGTTGACTAATTCCCACACTGAACAAGGGGGTTGGAGTAGGTGACCTCTAGGATCCCTTCGAACTCTGTGTCAAGAAACTGGTCTCCTTCAAGAGAGTTCTTATGCCTACGTGTTAGTTTTCTTGACTACAGAAATCACCCCCCCCCACCTGCTAGCTTGTGATCTGAATGGTTGCTTAGGCTGGCGGAAGTGATTAACTTGCAGCAGCTGAGAGCTGTCATCCAAAGTGGTTGACAGCTTGCAATTTAGAGATCTATCCCAGTAACAGCTTTCTGTTGGCTCAATGGCTTTTCTTTCTGCACTGAGAACTTCAGCCCCAGTGAAAAAAAGTTTTGCCCCACAAGCCACAAAATCCTGCCTACGGGCCTGGTTGGAAACCCTAGAAAGCTCTCACAGTACATTAAAGCCACACATCTGCAACGATGAAACTGTTTATATTCATCTTTTCTGCACACATGAGGCAAGACAATGGACCCCCCTTCACTGGAAAACGCCGGGCTGCACTTTTCCCAGCTCCCTGCTCCACCAAACGTTCTGCGTTCTGCTCCTTTTTGTGTGCATGCTTTCGTCAAGGGTATCGATCTGATTGTTTTTTCCCTTTAGGTTCCTAGACTCCTTTGCATTGCGCTCACAGGGCATACGAGCTGCGTGCTCGATGCGTTTATACAGGCAACACGCATCGTTGGCCGCCTAAGATACACGTCGTGTTTGATGCTGATTTCCCGAACGTGAAATTATCCCTAATTTCCACGTGGATCCCCAGCAGAAGGGAATCGAAAGGAACCGGCCGGGGGGAACAACCGAAAGCGGGGTGGGGAAGCAACTCGGAATTAATCTAATCTGATTGAGGAGAGATCGTCCCCCCTCCCTTTCACCTGCCCACTCACCCAACCGCTTCCCCCTTAAACAAACCTCCTGCTCATTTACTCGGAGTGGCTTCAATCAACCTGAAATTAGTGACACATGATGATGTTAATAATATGCTAATGTTTCATTAGCTGCAAGCCTCTCCGATGCCTGGGGTTTCTTGGGCGGGGGAGGGGGGAAGCATTCCGACAACCTGCCAGTCAGCAGGGTGGGTTAAAAAAAAGAGTAAAAAAGCACTGGAGCTAACAAGCCCAGGTGCCACGTGGGTTTCTAAAACGGGTCCGTCGTCTTTTGTAGGGATGGAGGGGAGACAAAACGTTCACCCTGATCCAGGGGAAGGGATGCTTCTTAGCAGGCTGGCTCTCAGAGGAAGGGAGACTCCTGCTTCCTGATGGCAGCTGGTGGCTTCTACTCCATGGAGGAAGAGCTTCCAAAGAGCCCTGCTGGATCAGACCAGGGGTCCATCTAGTCCATCTAGTCCAGCATCCTGAGAACACAGGAAGAGGCCTGCTGGATCAGACCAGAGGTCGATCTAGTCCAGCATCCTGAGAACATAAGAAAGAGTCCTGCTGGATCAGACCAGTAGTCCATCTAGTCCACCATCCTGAGAACATAGGAAGAGCCCTGCTGGATCAGACCAGGGGTCCAGCTAGTCCAGCATCCTAAAAACATAAGAAAAGCCCTGCTGGATCAGACCAGGGGTCCATCTAGTCCAGCATCCTGAGAACATAGGAAGAGGCCTGCTGGATCAGACCAGTAGTCCATCTAGTCCAGCATCCTGAGAACATAGGAAGAGCCATGCTGGATCAGACCAGTGGTCCACCTAGTCCAGCATCCTGAGAACATAGGAAGAGCCCTGCTGGATCAGACCAGGGGTCCAGCTAGTCCAGCATCCTAAAAACATAAGAAAAGCCCTGCTGGATCAGACCAGGGGTCCATCTAGTCCAGCATCCTGAGAACATAGGAAGAGGCCTGCTGGATCAGACCAGGGGTCCATCTAGTCCACCATCCTGAGAACATAGGAAGAGCCCTGCTGGATCAGACCAGGGGTCCAGCTAGTCCAGCGTCCTAAAAACATAAGAAAAGCCCTGCTGGATCAGACCAGGGGTCCATCTAGTCCAGCATCCTGAGAACATAGGAAGAGG